GTGTCCCTACAGAATTTAAAACTTGTCTCTCGAAAATCTGCAACTCCTTGCTTATGAACAGCAGGCTATTCCCAGGCTGTGATGCAGCTGACAAAGGAAGTTCCACCACTATAGTCACAGTTCCTTTCCCTGTCACAAAAAGCACCTGACCTGTCCTGTCCTCGCTCATGATGCTGAGACCAGCAGGTGATGGAAAGCCAGAACACTCACTACCTTAGAGCAAACGAGTTACAGCCTGGTTCTATCCACCATGCCATGAAAAAACTGTCCCTGTGCAACACAAACTTCCCTCCCCACCCCACCAGTATCATGCTCCGTGCTACAAAGAAGTCAGACCTTTTTCACAACTTGCTGGTAAGAGCTTCAGCTACAAAAGGAGATGAGCGGAGCATTGCCAGAGTGGTGGGTTCCTTCATCACGTGTTTCATTTCTGCTACATCAGCCACAACTAGTCACAAGATGCCAAAACACGTGTGTCGGTAAAGTTAACTGTCTTACTTTCTAATAAAATTAAATAAATGAATTTTTCTCTAGGTATGGTGGAGATGAAGGATTTTCTCTCTCAGCCTGCAGCCATGCACGAGATGTGTCTTCCTCTGGAAGCTGGTTTCACATGGTGGCTTAGATTTTCCCACTTTGTATCTAGCACCATTTGAAATCAGTGTTCTAGGAGCAAGAATTACAGCGTGGGAGGAGATCAAGCAGCTGCTAACTTCACCAACAGCCTCTACTCCTTAAACCAGCACTTTTTCCAATGGTTATTTTTTTGCCAGCCATCCACTTTGTAACATCATCTGATTTCTAGACACTTATACAACCACTGTATACACTCTCTCAAGCTAGGGCCACAACAGGAACAGCTTCCTTCAAATGTATTTCTACTTAATAAACAATGGATATTGAGTTAAAGTTGTCCAGAGTAAAGTGATCCGAAAGTTGCATGAAAACCAACATAATTCTTCTTCCATCCTGACAGGCAGAGTACGTTTCCTTTATTATACGATCAGTAGGACCCTAACATTTAATTCACTAATTTAGAGCAAATGTATTTCCACTCTATGCTTGGGGACTCTATTGCCATAGAATTACCATTCCGTAGCTCCCAGAGACTTGCTCTGCAAACACAGAGCATTCCCTCCAACGATTTGATCTCAGTAGTTAAGCACAGAAGTGCCTTCAGCAATCACGATGATGTCACACTGGTGCACACAGAATCCACTCCTTTTTTAAGGTTATTGCTGGTACCTTCTAGTAACGTTTCAGGAGACTTCTATACCCTTGCATCCAAACCACCAAAACGAAGCTGAGCTATTTTTGCTTGACCTCGCTCTTGTCAAACACGTTACTATACACAGAAAAGACGACCGCTGTGTGGATGAAGCATTTGATCAGAGCACTGAATAGTCTTCTTTAAAGAATGCGTAGCTGTCATCTACAAGAGGATTCTTCTCTGAGCCAGGACAATGTCTCTTACACAGGCTGACCGATTTCTCTTGGTGTTCAGAGTCTCAGTTTTTGTCTAGCACCATTTGAAATCGGTTATGATGTAGGGGGAAAAGCAACAGTAATGGAAAACTTCATTCCCCCACCCCCCAAAGTCCTTACAAGTAAACACCATCAAAAGCACCACCTCGCTTCACAAACATGTTCTGTTATGCTCTTCTGTTCTCTGACCTGAAGCTACACCTACAGGCTGAACACCCTGCCCACAAGGAGGACAGTCAGCATCACGGCCAACTAGGAGGGATGCTTCCAGAGAAAGCGAAGCATCTGCTCAAACACCTAACTAAGGTTCTTCAAGTCAAGCAGCCAGGGCCCACGTGCGAGCGCACAGCCACCTCACCTGCTGACCAGTTCTATTCCATGTGCTATTTGGTTACCTTAACCTGTTATTTACTCACATTTTATTTATTTTTTTTTTTCTCCTTTTAAATAAAATTGTGTGCTACTTGGTATTGGGCTCTGTCTCAGGTAGACAGATAACACGTTTCCCTGCTGGACGATCTCTCATTGCTGCAAGTCTCTTCGTTTCAGTCCCCAGCTCCACTTCTCCCCCCCCCCAGCACGAACCATGCTCAGAAGTGAGCATTTACACGGAACTTAAGTGTAAGGTTGAGAAGCCTACCAACCACAGACACACCACACAACATGGCATTAAACTAGGAGATGCTGTACCCACGTATTGCTACTCCAGCCGTGAGAACACAGCTGCTTTTACCAGCAGATGGCAACACCACATTTTTATTACATCCAGCCTTTTTCTTAGCACAAAGTTCATGTGTTCATGACTCTTAATTATCAGTTCCAGATTCCAAAATGAAATCATTCATGTGGGACTGAGTTTCAGAAAAATGGTGCAGAGCTCATGACAATTAAGACAAATTTGTAGCATTTAAGGCACATTGCCTAGTAGCTGCCTGTCCCACCAGTGCTCACAGCAATCTCAAAAATTCATAGATTGTAGAGCTGTGCAGTCTACATACTGTCATCATTTGTAGTCCACACCAACTGATTTTGAGCATCACAATCATGAATTAAAAAAGATACAGCATATTAGTTTCCTATTCCACTCTCTGAAAGGCTTCATTCTATAAGGCAGCTGACTCCACACATTTCTTTGCAAAGAAAATTAAGTACACTTTGAGTGTGATCCTCATGCAATTAAAAATAATCACATTCTATTTCACATTTTACTTAAAAACAACTAAGCTGTTTTCCCTAAGGATTACATCTGTCACACACTGGACAGAAGTGCCAGAATGCTCTCTGGGCTTTGCTCTTGACTTGGTGTCACATCAGAACAGCCACAGGAAAACCTGCTGCTTCTCCATCAAGTTTTCACCAAGTTTTTCAGCAGTGAATACCATAAGGTTTTGGAGGTTCTGGGAAATTCTCTGCACTTCCAAAAGAAAACCAAAAGGCTATGAGACTGTTAAGCAAATTAAAAGACATTCTCTATGCTACCATTAAGTCATTCTGTGCACAAACTGCAAACTCCCATCTCAGCAGTCACCACCTAATGCAAGTTTGGTACATGAAAAATCATCTTAAGAATAATGGGAAAATAACTGCTTACCACATGACGAATGAAAGACAAACACTTACTGCTAAATAATTTCACATTTTTATTTGCAATATTACAAGTTACCACTAGACTTTACATCTGGAAAAAAGTGTAAAAATAAGGCCATTTTTTAACAGGTATTCACTTTAGCATTAAGTGCATTTCAGCATATTTTAAACATTGAAGATACCATACATAATCGAGCTACCTAGTGACCACCACACTCGGTTCCCAGTATAGTATCACAGTGCTTACAAGCAATTATCAAACTAGGCATCAGCTAGGCAATGAACAGCAGTCATTCTGCGTGGCCAAAACCCCTTTTTAATAACCAGAGACTACTATGAACTCTGAACACACAACTGCTGGGATTGTCCCCAAGAGCCCTACAAAGCCCTAAATAGTTCTACGTTATTCAACCAGCCTGTTCGTGGCAGGGGAGAGCAGTGCCCATCTACCACGGGCAGGCAAGAATAGTTCCAGTGCTGCCTCAGCCATCTGAACTGAGGCAATTTGGTTCTTCTACCAAAATTGGTTCTCACAAGCTGCCTATATGTTGACAGCAAACTCAGATATTCACAAAGCCAAAACCTGTCTTAATTAAGCTTTTGGTTTTAATAAGGAATTAAAAATAGCCAGTATGCATTTAAAGTGACAGCTATCAATACGCATCCTGAGTGGCAATTCATGGCAAATTCTGTGATGGGAGCTCCTGGAGTCACAGTCTTGACTAAAACACTTCATGAAGCAAGCAGCTATCTGAAGACACCCCACATGTACCACCACTGCCAGCATCCCCATGCCTTCACCCCTGCAACTAAGCTGGTCTGGTCTTCCTTTGACACAAAAAGAGAAGGATCAGACAGGGGAAAGGCTTCTGCTTCTCAACGGGTATCTGATGGTAAATCTAGCATTACAGATTTAGTACCACAGTCTGTATACAGACATTGGAAATGCTCTATGTGAGATACATGATTTCAACAAAAAAAAAAAAAAAAAGCAAGGACCCTTTCTATCCTGAAACAGCAAAATTATCTCCGAAACTGACATCAAGGCTCAATAAAACTCAAGCATCCTACAGAACGTACACCGTGCTCCTGACAGGAGATGGCTACTACTGATTTCTCAGCAGTTCTTTTAATTATGATTCTATGATCTATAATCATCTATAATCTACGATTCTATGAATTAGGTACTTTGTGTCAAAAGGCCAACAAATTCAAAGACAGGGGATACCTTTGCTACAGAAACCTCCAGTTTTCCATTCCAACAAATCCACTGTAGTATATTTCTGGGACTATATCGAAGAGCTAGAAACATATATGGCTTTTTTCCTTCTCAAAGGCAATGGAAAAGCTGTAAAACTCTGATTTAAAAGCACCCTTTTAATTCATTAGATATACAGAAACCAACTTTGGCAAACAAAGAGGTAGTATATACAAGATCTAAACTATGAGAGTTTCAAAAAGACACAGCCTTAAGTGGCACCAATCTCTTAAGGAAATTAAAAATAAATCATTTCAGAATACAACCACCAAAATGAACGAGAAGCACACTTAGATTTTAGTGCGCAGATTAATATTGGATAGTCTTCTGTAAGAAAAGAGGTGGCACTGAAGGCAGCAGCAGCTGGTACTAGGACAGCTGCTCGTACCCCGTACGCCCACTGGCACACTTGCACACTACACGTATGTGCCTTTAACACCATTTCACATACACAGAAAAGACACTACGACTGGCCCATAAGTAAATATATATAGAGAGATATATATATCCTTTTTAACCTATTAACAAATCTCCTGCTACAGTTCATCAGTAGTATAAGACATAGTACAAGATATTAATCTACAGAAACTCAATGCAAGTGCAATCGTTTTCCATTTCTGATGGATATATTCAACTGCAAATTCCCTCCCATCCCAAAAAAAAGGGTCATTCATGCTTTACAGATCTTATATTCGGCAGTACATGGAGTGCTGTCACGTTTCCTACAAACAAAAAACACAAGTCAAATCAGACATTTTACATTTGAATAGCTTTTACATTTAGTCTGAAAGCACATCCTTAGTTTCATCATTAAATCAACAGGTAAACTCACAAAATTAAATCATTGTTTGGCCTCTTCTTACTAAGCAACTGCTACACTGAGAAGATTTTTGCTCCATTTCATGAAGCATACTCTTCTACTACCCACAGAGCAGAAGAGCATTTGATCCAAATGGATAATTTCAAGCCATGAGTGGACCATGCCCGAGTATTATCAAAAACTGAACACAGATAGAACATTAACAGGATTCCTGACTAATTTGGAGACAAGATCAGGAGCATCCCTTATAATTTATTTTAAATACAGTATGTTGTTTAGTATAGATTTTATAACCAGAAGCTGAATATTAGTTTGTGAGAATTTTGATTTCGTAGTCGGCTAACAGCAAATTCACAATACTTAAAAATATGAGGATTAAAATTCATAATTACATCCATATATATGTTTTCAAGTTCTTGAAAAACTCCTGTTTTGCTTTACATTAAAAAAAAAAAAACCATACCAAACCCTCTACACTATTTTCTCTCCAAAAATAAGTCCAACTAACCCAGAAAACTAATCCTATCTCACTTAGAAACATCTTACTTCAGAGATAAAGATGATATTCCTTAATCTATACTCTATTCTGGAAGAAACTCCAAGCTTAATCTTCATATATGCCATCTCAAACTTATCAAAACCACAGAAAAGTCACTTGAAAAGTAAATAAAATCAAGATTATGCATTTTAAAAGACCTTTGCACGAAGTTAGAGACATAATGTTTCAACCATTACATCTCAGAATTTGTGCAATGGAGAAAAGTGACACAAATGAAGACACCAGTTTCCAAAAGTATCTGTAGTGCAAACTCGAACTGTTAAGGCAGTAATGACAAAACACTGACAAGGAACAGTCCAACTAAGCTGCCCTGTCTAAAATCTGCTCTGTTGTAACAAAGTTTGAAGTCAGGTTTTTAAAAGAGCTAATTTGACTCTACACAAGTGCAGGAGAATTTGCAACTGTCATCAAAACCATCTGACTACTGGACTAAGCAGTAGTTTAAAAGATAGTACAAAAGATCAGTTCCAAACAAGCAGCTCTATTTCGTCCCGTTTTAGGGCTACAGAGCTCTGAATTTGAAAAGGAAATCACCCTTTTTATAAAAAGGTTTAAACAGAAGACCTCGTTTGCATCTTCGTTTATTTATTTCATTTTTCTTAGAAAGCTGAAAACACAGATGATCAAAGAAAATCGGATTACAGGTGTCTCAGAACTCCTGAAGCACACTACCTCTGCAACTCTAGTGTCCATGTAATGCAGCAAAGGTGGCTTCCAGCTCCAACAGGCTTCTAATTATAGGAAATTCTACTATTAGCTAACGAAAGTAACTCGCCACTGGAATCCATCTCACATCACTGAAACAAGTGCAAACATCCTACTGAGTATGTGTGTAGTTTCCGTCTTACATTACTCATTTTTTTTAAAGACAGCCTAAAACTGAGATATGTGATACACAATCGGTGGAAGCTGTCATTTACAACGCTGAATGGTAACTCTTTAGGGAATATATCCCATTCTCCCAGAATGAGTGAATGGTTATTACAGTCTTTCCGACAGGAAACTGAGGTTCACAGCTAGCTAGATGCCACACTTCTCCTGAAATTCTAAGCAACCACAATAAAAAAAGACACTTAAGCTTCATTGCAAAAGTCCAAATTAAGTGGAAAGTGTATACCTTTTTAAGATTCACTTAATTCATTTGTGCAGTTTCTTCCATCTCAGCTGGTACATTAGTTTTTAAAATACACGTTTCCTTGCAACTCTCATCAACTGTGTACACGCTGAACAGCAGAAGGGAAAAAGGTCTAATTGAATGTCCTATAAAACTGGCAGATTAAACACACAAGAAAGAGGGCAAGACAAGATTTTTGCTGTAATTTGAAGACTACAACCCAGCAAGTACGAAGTACTGGAAGCACAACAGTTCAAAGACTCAGCTACATCAGGAACACAGAAAAAACAAATAGGGACATCTAGGCCTTAATAAAAGGAGATTAGATCAGGGTTTTCAGGCAAGAAAGAGGTTTAATAGCCAGATGTTCACAGCAAGGAAGCTTAAGGAAAGCACTGGGTGCAATAAGACTGTTCACGTAAAATTTTCAAGAATATAACATTCTTCAGTTTTTGATGATGTTGCTTGAGATGCCTCCTGCTTTCTACACCCTGAGAAGTTTCTCTACAGGTGAAGGCAGAAAGTGCTGCCCTAATACTAATAGCTCCCACGTACTCAGACCATCCAGATTGCAGACTGTTCAGGTCATGGATGAAGAGCAATTGCTCAAGAGCACGGAATTACTGAGCAGCACACAGGTACACAGTCTCTCTGCTTACAGGGCTGTTCTGGCCCTTGGAACGAGACCCTACTGCCTACGTGTAAGATACTAAGGCTAAAACCTCACTGGATAGAAGCTAGCATCAGGGTTCTCCCAAATAGTACTGTGTGTACTTCGTTACAGATATGAACCACAGGAATAACTCCTCTGGTTTTCTTTATTTATAGCATCCCTTCCTTTGCTTCACCTACCCCAGATAAATCCCAACAGATTTGGTCAAAAGGTTAAGTCAGTTTTGATGAGATGCTTATCGTAACATTCTATGCGTACCACCTAACTGGCTCTGAATTTTCACTGTTTTGCATGTTACAAACTGTTTCTCCAACAAAACAGGCTTTTTTCAAGAAGATAAAATACAACATCACTGCAAGAAGCAATGCACAAAGAGGCATTTAAATCTCCTACCACCCCTCCATGAAAAAGCATACATAACAATCAGCTGTTTTGAAGATAAAAGTTCAAAAGGCCCTGTAAGTCTCATTAAAACCAGAACACTACTACTTATGAATCTAATATTTTACAGTTGATTTTGCAAGTCGTCAACATAGGGACACCAATCATTGCTGCTGCAGGAGAAAAAAAATCAAGTGGATCCACACGTTAAACATTCTAGTGGCAAAGCTGACTATTTGCTTTTTCGAACAGCACAGGAGCACCAGTTTGGGCCAATTCTGTTTTTTCTTTCCTTTCACATTTTCCTTTTAACTAAGCCCATATTATTTTCTTCAAGGTGCTTCCGGTCCAAAACACAAAACCACAGTGGTTCTCCAGTTACCCTCCACAACCATTGGTGCATTTTATGTCGAAGAGAGGAAGCTCCTTAGTTCATCTCCAAGGCTTCCAGTTCATGTAAACCACTCTGGCTGCTAAAGCCTGTGAGACCCAGCGATGCCAGAGGGTATCCAAGCAATAAAATAACACAAGCCCACACAAGCCAAAACTACCACTGGTTTTAAGAGGCAAACTGACATGTTTTCAAGTACACCTGTGCTAAATACGAGCTTAAGAGCAGGGATTTTCCTTCCTTGAAATTAGTGCAAGTGTTAATTAGCAGCTTATCTGAATAGCAGACAAAAAAACAAAGACAAATATATTGTTAGGCACTTTAGCTTCCCATCAGCTGCTGTGATAAGCTCACAAATAATTACCAGGCATTTGAAAGAGAAAGAGCAGATATAAGACCAAGAAACTTACATACATGTTAGCACTGCTTTTGCTCAGTCATTAAGAAATTTGCAATAATAATAATAATAATAATAAAGTAGGCTTACTCACCCATTTTGTGAAAAGAATTTCTTATAGATCCAGAAGGCTGCCAGGAACACCACAATTGCCACAATCACTTTAGGAAGAATTAAAAAAAAGCCTTAGAGTGATAAAAACCATCTCTAGCTCAAGAAAAAAGCCTCAAAAATTTTTAGTAGAAACAGCACTGTCTTTATCCACAGTCCCATACAACTCCTCCCCCATGAAATTAAAAACAAACCTTTAAATTTTGTGTGGCTTATTTCACAAACATGTTTTTGATGCTTTACTAGAGGCTCTTCGAGATAGTTCAGCTCCAGAACAGTGACCATCAAAACAGGTACATCAACATCCTAACATTACTTTTTACAAGTTTCTAGGAAAGCAGCAGGCTTACAAAAGTGGGTAACAAATTCAAGGACAGAAGATGGATGAAGCACTTTTGTTCACAGTTATTCATTTGTGCTCCCAGAAAACCCAAGCTCTGAAAAGTTTAGGAAAGTGACTGAGTTGTGGAAGACTGCCTTTGAAATCTGACTCCTCACATGCATGAAAAAAACAGCATATTTTATATGAAATTAATCTATAATTGCTGAGTAATCATAATGTTTCTTGAACTATGCAGTTTTAGGAGCAGACAAGCATTTTTAAAAGAACCAAAACTCCAAAATCCCGTTATATTACTGCGGTCACAGGTGATGACCAAAATATCAATTCCACAAAGAAGATACAACGTGGTTGGGATCTTGCTCAGGTTTTGTAAGATACTCACCACAGATGATGGCCGTAATATACGCACCTAAAAACAGAGTGAATCAGTATCACAAGAGGAACACACATGCTTCTTATTCAAACACCATTATAAAATATTCATAAAGTTATTTCAAAGAGATCAAGCACTTCTGTCAACACAATCCTTGCAGCGGGACAGTTAATATCATAACAGTTACTTAGCTTAAAATATTCCTATTTTAAAATGGATTTTACCAAAACCTATTGTTCTTACATCAAAATAAAAAAGGAAGTTTGCATGAAATGATTTCTCCTAAACACAAAAGAACATCTCCAAGAAGTAAAGCATTTTCATTCTAGCAGAAATTCTTGCAGTTCATACTTACTTAATTGGCAAGTTGGTACTCCAGGAACCCATTTGTTTTCTCCAACATACTGAATACGAGCTTCACCATGCAACGTGTAGCCTGCATAACATTCAACTGTAATAAAATCCCCAACAGAATACGAAGGTTTTTGTCCATCAACTACTCTACCATAACTTATGTGTGGAGTGACACCAGAAATTTCAGACCCACCTGGAAAGAGAGGGGAGGGGAAAAAAAAAAAAAGAAAATAAAGTCCAAGAACAGAGCTGGTACATGAAGCAGATTCAAGAAGTTGCCATCAGAAAGCCCCTACATTTGTTTAAATATCATAAGCTTAAACTTTAAGACATTTTACACGCAAATGTGTCCTGTTTCCAGAGGCTGCAGGCAGACACACTTCTGACACACCAACAGAAATAACACATCTTGCCTTCGTTGGGACAAACAGTTGCATCGAAGTAATGACAACCTCTGTCTGTATTGTAACAAGTGATCGATCGTGTGGTGCAAAGTGAGGTGAGAATAAAGTCCACCATCATTAAAGACAGAATTTTCACAAAACACTCCCAGGACAGATCTTTCACACTGGCTTTTGAACTTTACCAATTTCCATAAACTAAACTAAGATGGAACGAGGACTCCAGCTCTACTGAAAACCTTCCTCAGTTGCTGAAACTCCACCCCGTGACATCCACAACCCTCCTAACATAACCTGGTGGTGCCCTGCTGCAAGACCCTTCACTTTTGGGGTCTGCACCTTATTATGGCAGAAATTTGGAACCTGCCATTCGGCCCTTCATCCTACCAACTACGAGTTTTACTCACACGAACAGTTTTGTAAAGAACTCCACGTATTCTGTCCTTGACAAGTTGCTGTCATCTCTCCAGTGCCATCATGAAAAGTACAGTAAGCATTGCACTTTATCTGAACAGACTCTCCTCCTTCATACACAGATTTCAGTGGAATCACTACTCCATGTGTGATCTTTGGGGCACCACATGCATCTTCAGTAACTAAAGTAAGTTTAGAGATAGTAAAACTTCAAATATTTCATAAATCATTAACTCACTCCACAAGCATACGTTGCCTTTGTATGAGAAAAACAGATGTGCATATCTGAATAGTTCAACTTTACCACTACGCATGTCTGCAACTCAACTCGCTCTCATCCAAAAACTCTTTGGAGTTAAGAGTCACTCAAACCCCTAAAATGGTTGCCCAGAGATGAGGCTCCACGTCAACTTCCTTAGCTTCTGATTTCCAACTACAGCGTTACGATTTTAAATTTTAGCTAAGACAGACTTACAACATCCTCAACATCCAAGAGAAGTCTGATTCTTACTTAAAAGGCTTACTTTTTTCACAAGTTGGTTTTGGAGGAGACCAGGTGTTATTTTCTCCACAGGTAATTATTGCTGGTCCGATCATGACATAGCCTGGATCACACTCAAACATGACTGAGTCCTCATAGCTATAGGAAGGTCCAAATCCCGTTTTTTTTCTTCCATTTTCAACTTTCGGGTTATCACATTTGACCACTGAAATAGGTAAAAGAAAAACAGCTCTGAGACAAATATTTGTTAGCAATATTTTTACAACAGACACAGCATCCTTTCACTACTTGTAAGTTTTCTTATCTAACTCCTCAAACTGTCTTGGAGGCACTTTTTAAAAAGGTTATTCTGTTGAAGGTGGAGAAGGTCCTTGTTTCAAGCTGTTGAGCTGTAACAGTACACAGCCAAATACGAAACTGCAATAATTGATATAATCACGTTCCACTTTCAGAAGACATACTCCTGCACAGAGGCAGAATTTCAGAAAACAAAGTGATGTTGCTTAGGGTTCAATGACAACGTGCAGGCATCTGGTAATTCTCCCAGCATCTGCAAAGCAAGACTTCGTGCTTACTGGGCTTTGCATTTATTTCTGCACTTGCACAGTAGCTGGGTTTTGAGAGTTCTTCCTTACCTTTTTGCTAGCCATAATCTAGTTTCCATGTTCTTGCCCCTTACACAATTTTTCTTCAGCTACCCAGGCTTTATGGTCTCTCAGCTCCTTCGCTTTGTCCTTGTCACTTCTACCAACTGCACGCTCATACATGTGTTTTTAAAGTTTTAACTTAAATTTTAGTCATATTCTGTGTCATAATCAATCAGTATCCATAACGCAGTTGATCTAATCTCCACTGGAACTACATCAAACTTAGCACCAGAAGATCTGTTTCTTTTCTACAGAGAAGTCCATCCCACCACCACCCCCCCTTTCCAAAAAAGGGACAGGTATTGATGTTTTGGAGTCACACAGGCTATAATAAAGAAGTATACTACAAAAAACAACCACCTCTACATTGTGGAAGTGGTTCACTCCAAACTCCATTTGAGTGTTCATCGTATGTGCAGAAAATAGTAGCTGGGCCAATCAGCGAGAAGGGATCTGCGCCTCTGGATGCAGCATCGCACGAATAGGTCACCGCAGTTTGATAAACATAGCTCTGCAGTTCAGTGTAGCGCCCGTTGGCTATACTTGGAGGTGGGCCACAAGGAATTACTAGAAAAAAAAAAAAAAAATCACACAAATTGTGAATTTTGACAGAATTTTGCTGTTAACTTGTCCATCTCAGAAACAGCGAGCCTTGATTTTCAAGTAATTTCATTTAAAATCTGACATACAGTTATTTCTACGACAAGCTACAGTTATAACTGAGTTACCTATGGTTATTTATTATAGGGAGTCTCAATCTGAAGAAGAGGTTGACTTTAACTAAACATGAGCTAATTATCAAAATAACTGGTATTTTTCAGTGGTCATTCCTCAGGCGCGTCCCCAGTAGCTAAAAAAAACAACCAAACAAAGTCCTATTTTATCATCATTTCTTGTACTGGAAAGTTTATGGCACAGCTGCTTTTAAATAACTACCATCATCTCAATATAAACTAAAACATGGTAGGAATTTACTTACTTTCACAGAAAGGAAGATCTTTATTCCAGTCAACAACATTATTCTTAATCACACAGGAAATTTCATCAGTTCCACGTAATCTGAATCTAGACAGGTAAAAATTTTTAAAGAGGTGAAACTTAAGAAATCTCTCTTTTCTCCAACAAGCCACTAGAAGCGGCTTATATAATTCTGTTCTGTGATTATGGGGACACGACATACCAAGTTTTTTGTTGTAAGGGGAATAGTATCTTAAATTGTTTATTTTGCTAACAGTCTCAACTTTGATAACAAAAGAGAAGCAAACGAGACATCACTAAAGGAAGTGATGCAAGTCTCACAATTTTAAGATACTAATGCCTTAAAGTTACTAATACTAAAAAAAATAAGCTGTTAAAAGGAAAGGGAGGGAAAAAACCTTGCGAAAGGTTAGTGCTTTTGACTTAATATGCTATATGCAGATGGGTGGGCCATTATTCAATATCATAATGACGGGTGATGAATAATTTGTTTACTCCCTCTGCCACAAAAGCATTAAAAGAATTTTAGTCATTAGAGGTAACACTCTAGTTTTCACTTTGCAAAACCTCGCTAAAAAGCTTAAACCTCAGCTGATGTAAGCAGCAAGTAAAAACAGGGAATCAAATCAAATTTAACTGTAATTTCATTTGCTCCAGGTAGAATTCAGGAGACATTTCAAGTCAGAACTAGAATGGAATCTGTGTAAGAAAATTTGGGTTTGGTTCAAATCTGGTCTAAACAGAAAAAAATGAAAAAGGATTCATTCACTTCACCAAAATACTTACCCTGCTTCGCAAGAAAAAGTAGCCTTTGAACCAAATGTAAGATCTGTCACGTTAATAAAGCCATGTTGTAATTCTCCTGGGTGGTTACATTTTCTCGCTAGGGTGACGGGGAAAGAAAAGAAAAAAAAAAATCTACTTCTTGGTAGTTAGATGTAACGACTAAGTCATTGGCATATATTGCTCTTGCAGTCATTAGCATTTTTCGAGCTTTGTTTAAGTATTACAGAACACTAATTCTCACTTGGAAAATCAATTAAAATTGTTAAATATCAAAGGGAAAAAGCCAAAGAGCTCACCACACATTACCTCTACAGAACTCCTCTGTAGGTGACCACTGTAAGTCTTCACCACACGTACGATCTAGCGGTTTTCCAGGGATTCTTATATACCCTGGCCGGCAGACGTACGATACCGTGGTTCCAACAGGAAAACTCTTCATCGTGCTGAAACTCTCCTGGAGCTCTGCATATTGCAGCCTCTCTGGAGCCATGCACGTGCCTGGAGAGGAAGGAAAAAGCAATAGAGAATCTTGTCCACAAGAAGAGATGCCAGCTGAGGCACAACGGCACAGAAGCCAGGCTAATTCGGCAGGTTTGAAGGACTCATCGGTAAATCAAAGAAGTGACGTTCTTAAAAGCCGGAGCTATCTGGATACTCAACTAGGTTTCAGTTTTTTAATTCATATTTTAATTGCATCCGACGTCCAACCTTACACCAGTACAGGTTAGAATCACAGAATGGTTTGGGTTGGAAGGGATCTCAAAGACCATCTAGTTCCAACCCCCGTGCCATGGGCAGAGACACCCTCCACTACACCAGGTTGCCCAAAGCCTCATCCAACCTGGCCTTGAACACTTCCAGGGATGGGGCAACTTCTCTGGGCAACCTGTTCCACTGCCTCACCACCCTCTGAATGAAAAATTTCTTTCTTATATCTAACCTAAATCTGCCCTTTTTCAGTTTAAAGCCATTGCCCCTTGTCCTATCAATACATGCCGTTGTAAAAAGTCCCTCTCCAGCTTTCCTGTAGGCCCCCTTTAGGCTCTGGAAGGCTGCTATAAGATCACCCTGGAGCCTTCTCTTCTCCAGGCTGAACAACACCAACTCTCTCAGCCTGTCTCCCTAGCAGAGGTGCTCCAGCCCTTGGATCATCTTCTTGGACCTCCTCTGGACCCGCTCCAGCAGCTCCATGTCCTTCTCGTGCTGGGGACCCCAGAGCTGAACGCAGCATTCCAGGTGGGGTCTCACAAGAGCAGAGGGGCAACTTATTAAACAATAAGTAGGCTACTTATTGTTTTCTCCAGTTCTTTAGCATCCTACCCAGACAATGCATTTCCTTCCAGTTCACGGTTTTTTCTGCTTTTTTCCTCGCAGCGAAACACACGACCCGAGGCACGGCACGCCCCCCCGCCCCCAGCACAACGCCTACGGAGTTCGCGGCAGGAAAAACAACCCGAGGCGCACAGTTAACTTCCCTTTCCCAGACAATAGGCCGGGGGATCACAAAGGGCAGCTCAAACCCCGCTCCGCCACCGACCGAGAGCTGCGGACCCG